CACATTAAATTATATTTCAGCATGGTAGTATCTCATCATCCTTAAAGTGTGACACATGGAATTAAAAGATTGTGGAAGAATTATTAGATTTTTTAAACAATAAACCAGGCCTAGGCTAGGGTGCACGGTTGAAGTAGGGCAGATTATTGAGATGTCAGATGGAAAATTATGTTTATCATGACACAGACTACATATTCTAGCTCCTAGTAAGGCTTTATCACTTTGTTCCACTTCTCAGGTATCTCTTTAAAAGTGACTAAGGCAAATAAAAATTAATGCCATGGCAAAATTAGCCTCAGAATTTTCCCTAATTTCTTTCTTTCTTTTTTATTTTATTTTATTATTTTATTTTATTTATTTTTTGCTATAGGGCACATGCGCCCACCAGAAAGACAGAGAGAGACAGAGAGATAGAAAGCGAGAAATCACCCTCTAGGGGGATGGCCACATCGCAATCCCTTCTCCTCCATTCTCCTCTCGGGATCTTAGGCATGCATGCATACATGCCTGGTGTGAATTTAAGCCACCAGGTCCAGGACTTGAACCGCAGTTGACTACATGGGAGCTCAGCGACATAGCCATTATGCTAACTGCTGGTCCCAGGATCTTCCCTAATTTCTACATCCAATGATGAATACAGTACCATATTCCCTGGCACAGTATTTCTCTTGCCTGAAATATCCTTGCTATTACTTCAAAAACCAGATTCAAGCCACTCGTTCCTACAAAGAAAAACTAGACAAAAAAATTCCTGATCAGGGGACCAGCAATTGGCATAATGGCTATGTCACTGGACTCCCATGTAGTCGATCGTGGTTTGAGTCCTGGACCTGGATCTTACTCATGCTGGGCGTGTGTGCGTGAGTGCCCAAGATCCTGAGAGGAGACTGGAGGAGAAAGGATTGTGGTGTAGCCATCCCCTTTGGGGAGTTATTTCTTGCTTTCTGTCTCTCTGTCTCTCTCTGTCTTTCTGGTGAGTGCATGTGCCCTATAGCAAAAACCTCTCCAAAAAAAAAAAAATAAATAAATAAAATTCCTGATCAGGAATTCTGAATTATTCTTAGCACACTAGTTTATTCCTCAATTGCTTACTTGCCAAGTAGCTGGAAAAGAATAATCAGTTTAAGAAAAAGTTTCAAATCAATTGTTGTCTTTATTATCTATAAAATATTATACAATGGTGTTAGATGTCATCTGACTTGTTACTATAGCTGGAGAACTCTTAGATCTTACTCATCAGCCTGTTGAACTGTACCCTTCTCAGAGACATAGATACTATCCAAGAATTTTCTTATAGCTTATTTTTAAGTGTCGCGACTTGCTGTATCAAAGCAGCTGAAATTGATGGGACCAGCAGATGGAGTAATGGCTATGTCGCTGAACTCCCATGTAGTCGACCTTGGTCGCGTGTACATGCATGCCCATGATCTTTTTTCTTTTCTTTTCTTTTCTTTTTTTGGAGAGGTTTTTTCACTATAGGGCACGTACATGCCCATGATCTTAAGAGAAGAATGGAGGAGAAGGGACTGTGGCATGGCCATCCCCCCTGGGGGGTGATTTCTTGCTTTCTGTCTCTCTCTGTCTTTCTAGCAAGTGCACATGCCCTATAGCAAAAACTTCTCCCCCCAAAAAAGAATTATTTAATTTTTATTTATTCATTCATTTATTTTAACTTGACCAGAGAGAGGCAGA